ATTCAAGAAGAGGCCCTGGGAATCTGCCCTCCCTCTCTCATCCCCCCCCCCCAGGACTGCGAGGACCCAAACCCCCTGATCCGGGCCCTGGCTGTGCGGACCATGGGCTGCATCCGCGTGGACAAGATAACGGAGTATCTCTGTGAGCCCCTGAGGAAGTGCCTGAAGGACGAGGACCCTTACGTGCGCAAGACGGCAGCCGTCTGTGTGGCGAAGCTCCACGACATCAACGCCCAGCTGGTGGAGGACCAGGGCTTCCTGGACACCCTTAAGGACCTCATCTCGGACTCCAACCCCATGGTGATTATCTTTTGCCTTTTCCGTCTTCTCTTCATTCAAGCGGCAGTAAATGCTCTCCCTTCACCTTTACATCCTGACTCCTTTCCTCCCGTGCTCCCCTTCGCTCTCTTTTCGGCGCTTAAGAGGCCGCTTTTGGGGACAGCTCTTTCTGAGGGTTGCAGGCTGCGTTCCTTGTCCTGTAACCCTGTCTCCTGGATGGAAGGTGTCTCGGATTCCTTGGCAGCGCGTTATTAGTCTGTTCCCAGTGGGGAGGAGGCTGCCCCGGCCAGCTCGGAGCAAGGGATGGCGGCAGAGGGGAGCTGACGCTCGGCTCTGGTACCATGTAGCTGGCGGCTTTTGCCTCTGGTGAGGGTTTCCTAGGCTCCCTCCCTTTCCCCAGGCGTGAGGAAACTTTAAAGCCTGCTTTCCCCAGGGTTTCTCTTCCCCCAGCCCTTGCTGCTCTTCAGATCTTGCCGCGGGCGTAGCAGCGAGCCCGGGAGCTGCCGCAGAAAGTGATGGGGCTCCGCAGAGCAGCCCGACTGCCCGGGGAAGGGGAGCTAGAGCGGGCTCCTCCGCGCTGGGCAGGGAGCCAAGGCTGACTCCCGCTGAACACGCGCGAACCGTCGGAGATGTGGCGTGGGTGGGGGGGGACCGTGCCGGCGGTGATTGCTCATCTCCTGACGATCAGCTGGTGGGGAGGGAGAAGCCGGTGCCCAGATGTTGCTGGGTTGCGAGGTGCCGATACTGAGGATGCAGCTCCCCTGCTTGCACCAGCTTTCCCCCAGGCTGTTGAAGGACGCTTTGGTGTCACCTAACGCTCCCTGTCACCTGACACGTGCCCTGTCCCCTCTGGCAGGTAGTGGCCAACGCAGTAGCGGCGCTCTCGGAAATAGCGGAGTCTCACCCGAGCAGTAACCTCCTGGACCTCAACCCCCAGTCCATCAACAAGCTGCTCACGGCCTTGAACGAGTGCACCGAGTGGGGCCAGATCTTCATCCTGGACTGCCTGGCAAACTACATGCCCAAGGATGACCGGGAAGCCCAGAGGTGAGGGAGGCTCTGG